TTCAAAAACTCATTTATCTGTTTGTTTCTTTCATTGAATTTGAAAGTGAATGAGATTTGGAAATGAAAATTGGAATCAAACATTTGATCCGAAATGGAAACCAGAATAGAAATCAGAATTGGAATAAAGAAGGAGAAAAATCAAAATCAATAACTTTTATTACCTCAAACCTCTTGGAATTTGGTTGTGTGTTTGAGTTTCATTTTGCAATAAAGAAATCAAACTTGTGGAAAAACATGATTTCTCCATGACTGGAATGCTCATCAAGATGAGAATCATGATGGAAACCTCAAGTTCAATAATATCACTGGAACAAGAAGAAATTGGGAAAGTCGAAAAAATGGTTGAAACAAATGACAATCTTTGATAGATTATGGAAACAAATCGATAAAATTGCAATTTTAATTTTTACCAAACAGTTTAAAAAATCGAAACGTATAAAAACTTTTTCGAACAGCTGAAAATGGACAAAAAGTCGTGAAAATTTTATTCGATTTCGACTTAATTTCATTTCATTCCATTGGTAAATTGATGAGCATAATTGGTGCAACGATAAACAATGATTTTCATTGAATTATCAGAGTACATTTACACCAAATCAGTTTCTTTTTTCGTTCAAATTCAATGTTTATTTTGGAAGAAAAAAATCATTGAATTAACCCTGGTTTTGGCTTTGTTGAATGGTCATCTTAATGGACAATCAAATTTCTTTTTGGGGTCAGTTTTTCTCATCATTTTGGTTTCTCAATGGTAACTAGCAATTGGAAATTGTTTCCACAGTTAACAATTGAGTATAAAGTCGTTTACAATGAAATTATTACAACAATAACAAGTTTATAAATAGTATTCAATGGTTGGATTGAAATGAAAAATTGACTTCTTTTTTGCCACTTTTATTCCTTTGCCTTGCCAAATTATCAACTTTAAAAGACGAAATTGGTAATTTGGTGAATCGATTGGTGATTCAATTACTGATTGAAAGTAAAGATTAAACAGATTAAATAGGCTCAGAATGGAAATGGCGATGAAAAAGTTTAATGGAAACATTAAAAGTGTCTTTCTTGGTACTCTATGTTTTATCCAGTATTGCAGACTGCAAAGTGTTACTCTTTTGATAAGTCAGTCACTGGATGAGTAACAGGGTTTGGGTTGAGATAAAATAACATGTTTGACTAAACTTGATCTACTCAAAGTTTAATGTTAGTCATTGGGTTATTTTGCATTATTGTAACAAGTTGACTGAGCACAAGTCACATTCACAGATGATTAATCCGTGTGTAAATAAACATCTATCGCATGATCCAAAGCTGACATTTTGTTAAATCGCCCCTGAGTCACAAGAAAATTTGTATAAAACAAAAAGTCGATGAAGCTCGATCATTAGCCGAAATCTCATTTCTTTTAAACTCTGACTTTCGATGGTTTCATTTCATTAATAATAGTTCATGTTTCGTTATCTTTGTCCCTTGAATGAGAAATTTGACTCTTGAGGTCAACAATCATTGAATTATTTTGCATCATCATTTTTCAAACATTGGTTGTTTATTTGGTTACTAGAGTTCATTTGCTTCTAATGAAGTTTTCATACCACTTGGACTTGCATTTAAACTTAACCTAACCCAACCTAACCTAGTCATTAAATTGTTTTACCAAAGACTGATAATCAATAAGTTGTTACTAAAAAGTGGCATAGATTGACAATAAAAAAGAGATTACAACTTATCATGGGATTCAGGTTGATTTCCCAAGATTGAACAGTGTTGAAACTGAGCTAGATGTAACTATCTGTTAGAGAAGGAACAATGAAACTCGCAAACATAAACAATTAATGTCTATGTTACATCAACTTTTGCTACAAAGAGATCAACTTTGCTAGCTTTTTTCTTCACTTCTCTGGTATTGTTGTTGTTCAGTTGCTTTCATTTGAAGCAAAAAAAGTCTTGAGACAATCTTGATGTCTCATTGTTAGGAAAAAAAAGTAGAATAAGATTGAAGAAGAAGGAATTGAACCTTCAAGTCGAAGCAAAAAGTAAAAAGAAGAAAAATAATCTTTTTCTTCTTCTTTTCATTTCTCGCAATTTCAAGGAAGACAAGTTATTCGATAACAGCAAAAAGTAACATTCAAAAATAAGAAGCTGATGAGTTTGATGGCTATTATGATGATGAAATTTGGAGATCATTAAGAAAGTTTGTTTTTCAAGGTTATGACCAATTAACTTTGTTATATGGTCAAGCTGAATAATACGCACACAAAATGAACCTAATTGTCTTTCATTCAACTATAATCATCATCATTTCACATCATCAGTGTCACTTAATTTATAATAATTTACGATAATAATAATGGTCAATGTAATGTTACAACTGGAAACTTTTTTAATTTATTTTTTGCTTCTTCTCTTGTTGTTCAAATTGTCGTTGTTGGACAAGCTATGAAGATGAACGAAAAGATTTCATTAAAAAAAACTTCAAAGTCCTTCATGAGATTCAAGTGAGATTCAAATTCCCATGAATAAAAATTCGTTGAAAAGTTCAAATTCTAAGTAATTTAATCCATTGTTGACAGTGAAGCAAAAGGGAAACTTGATCATGTTTAACTTATAAGTTGTACAAGTTTTCAAAAAGTTGTGAACCTTTGCTTTGAAACTCAATTTTGCTCAGTCTTTTCACGTAGCTTCATCGATATCAATCATGTTTGCCTCATGCTTTGGACGAACCATTTTAACGTCACTTTGGTTTACTTTGATTGTGTGTTCAACTGAATGGGATGATAACCGTGATGATGGACAGAATAAGGAAAGTCTTTCAACGTCGACTTTATCACCACCAGTGGAACCAATTTTTGATTCAACTCCATGTTATTTGAATCTATGTGAAGATGAAATTGTTGAAGCTATTCGAAGTGGAGATGGATTTAGTGAAAGTGTTCGCTGTCACCAGTTGGACACTCAGTGTCATTGTTGCCTTCGTCGACAATTGAATCGCAATGAATTGGATAATCTGTATCAATCAATTTCAACTTACATCAATCGTAAACCCAAGTCTAGCGATAAATTGTGCAAAGTGTTGAACTGTGATGATTATCAGGTTAAAGCAATTCGCTCATTGGCTGATCCTAATGGTGAATGTCACCCTCATGGGAACGGTGATTGTGAATGTTGTGTTAAACCGAATCGTAGAAATGATCAAAATCGATCAACATTAACCTCACAATTTAATGGTTTAAACAATGGATCACGTAGTTTAACCAACAACACCAATCATTATCATTATAATCCACTTGACTTGGAGTCAAACTTTTTCAACCTTTTCCCATCCTCTAAATCATACGATTCATCTTCATCTTCTTCACCAAGTTCATCATTAAACTCACCTTTGTCCAGTTCATCTTCATCAAACCTATTTGATGTTGACTGTCTCCATCACTCCTGTAATGGTGCCCAGGTTAAAGCCATTAAACGACTTCCATCTCAAGTAATTACTTGCATCAAAGTTGGAAACTCGGACAATTGTAAATGCTGTTTCAATTCAAGTTTATCAATCTTTGAACGAGTCAAATATGAAATTGAATTGACCGAGGCTAATAACAGGCAAACAGCCAATCCAAAAGATTCATCACCAGGTTCATCTTATCCTCCTTCACTCTCAAGACGATCACCTTCAGTGAATCGACAGTCACCAGCTTTAGAGTCATTTTACGATTCACTTGAACCCAACTTGGACTGTAGTTTACATCATTGTCAAAGTGACTTGGTTCAACTTGTCCGCTCGGTTCCAACTCATGTTGTTCATTGCAAGCCAGTCAATGGATACTTCAACACTAATCGCTGTCGATGCTGCATAGATTCATCTTTGTCTGGACTCGATTTGAGAAATATTTTGAGATTTGTTAACCTTTAACCTTGAATCTTTTGTTTAGCTTTGCATCAATATTGAAACTCAAACTTCACCCTTCTAATGGTTTACCAATTAAAGTGATGGAAACATGGAGAGTAAAGATTAATGTTTCAAAAATTTGACTCAAAGCATGACTAATTTAGATGAGTCACAGTTGCTTCGATTCTATCAGGTTATTTTGCATCATTGTTGCAACACAAAGGAAATTGATTCAGCTGCTAGCAACCAATATTGATCATTGATGTGATAACTTTGGGCGACTCGTTCAACATAAACTGCATTAAAATAACAATTCAAAATTTTTGGTTCAAATTTCAATTTCGATAAAATCTTAAACAAAAAACATGAAATGCTAAACAAGACATTAACAAATTAAGTTCGTCTTGTTATTGTAAAAAGAAACGAACTAGACTTTGAATGTAATCAAGTGATGGTTATTGATTTGATACTTGTATACATTTCATGATGATAAAGTTGTGAATGTTTTTTTTTGTACAAAAACATTTGCCTTTCAAATTTTGCTCATTAATCGATAATTTTCGTCCTTTTATTCGAGTTTGATTGAAATGATGAAACATTTAAATGTGTAAAAAGGAAAGTAAAAGGTAAACAAATGTTGAAAGGTAATAAAAATGACAATTAAGTCAACAAGTGAAGAACCTGGTCAAGATTTAAAAACAAGAATGAAGCAGAAGGTTAGGAAGTTATTTGATGACTTTTTGTTGATTAAGGTCAGTAGAAAACGGTTCTCACCCGTTTCGCCGACCTTTAAATCTTTTTACAGCTTCAAGTGAAACTGCTAAAAAAGATTTACGTAAAATTACAAAAGTCAAACAAAAAGGAAAGCGCATACAAAACTTTGTCTTTTCATCTCAAGTGTTCAGTAAGACTTTTAGAAAATGTAAAAAGTAAATAATTTCAAGATGTTTTCAAGAGTTTTCATGTGAGCCTAATATGACAGAACAGAACGAGTCTGATTCATCTAAATTTGAATACAGCTTTTTACCATGTTACGATTTTGAAGTTCAAACTTTTCTTTATGAGTTTTGCTTTTACAAAAGCTTACAGATTGGTGAAGCAGGAATGTGACAAAGCTAACTTACCCATAAAGCAGAGCTGCACCAGCAATGGCTCCTCCTGACTGAGCGATAATGTAAAGTATTGACCTCAATGGTGTTATATTACGGGTTACAAGGAAAGCACAAGTGACTGCTGGGTTAACGTGAGAACCCGAAATGTGACCAAAACACTGGGTAAGTATGGCCATGGCTAGGCCACTTGTGAGTGACATTACAATCCAATTGGGTGTATGGCCAATCAATGAGCCTGTCCATGAAATGTTGACTGCACAAACAAGAAACACATAGAAAAAGGTTGATAAACATTCTGCAATTAAGCTTCTCCAAAATTCCAATGATTTAACTTCTTGAGACATTTTCTTGGTTCGAAAGCCATCATGGAGTAAAAGTTTATCAATCCTTTCAACTAACGAGATTAAAAATGATTCACTAGATAAGGTTCCAAATTCTCGTTGAGGAACCATGATTAAGGTTGAAAATGATTAACAACTTGTATCTCAATTAAATCCTTTTTCCCTTGAAAGTTTCAATTGAAAGTTGGTAAAAGAACCAGAAAATCTGTTGATCAAATTAAATTGCAATTTGTGATTCAAGATGATTCATTTCTCTTTTTGGAGGGAAAATGATGCCAATGGATACATGAAGGACATCAAAACATGTGGAAAAGTGATGTTAAAGGATGCACAAAAATGATGATAATGATGATGATACCAAAGAGAATGGAAAACTGATGAGTACAGAAAAAAGTTAGTGACTTGTATCACTTTTTCTCACTGTTATCCTATGAGATTTTCACAGAGTCAAGATGAGTGTAGGAAGAGTAATGTTGGTGCAGAAAAAACGAGTAGAATCAAGTTGATGGTGATAAGGATGCGAAAGAGGAAAATGAGCAGATGAAATGACAAGTGTACATAACACTGAGTGATGGAGAGCAAAAAAGAGGATAAATGTTTTGCTGGATGCGATGCAAGGGAAAGTGACTAGAAAAAAGTAAAAGCAAGAAAAAAGTCAGCGGAAGATGAAAAGATGAGGATGAGAAGAGCAGACGATTCGATTTACATTTTTTTCTCTCTCTTTCTCTTTGTATCTCGAGCGCAGTCGCTTTTAATTTTTTCTTCTCTCAGTCCAACATTTCTATTCAATTTTTTGTCTTTTGTTAAACATGGTTATGTGTGGGATGTTTTTTCTTGTCCTAATCATTAGTACAACATCTTTGCACTGACTGGTCAAGTTACATTTTCAAAATTAATCTTTAAAAAACTCTGACTGTTAAGTTTTACATTTCCGACTTTTTAGTGTTCACTTGCTTTAGTTTACTTTTTGTGCCAATTTTGCGTTGTTTTGGTCTTTAGTTTAGAGCCGATTGTTTCAAGAAATGAATTTTTTTCGATTCCTTCGAAAGCTTTCATGAAAACTTTAAACTTTTTGGAAATGTATTTCAAAGACTTTACTGCCTTTCATTTAGTTTTCAATCCAATTGTGACGATTTTTTGTACAAAAATGTGCCCTTTATAGTTTTTTTATGATAATTGCTCATGATAATTGATAATGAAGTCAACATGATTTAATTTTGAGAGCGAAAACAAACAACAAATAACTTTTTACAATTAAAAGCAGTTTATTGCACCCGAAGTTAACATTTATTCAAGATTTAGTTTGTTGAGTAGCAACTGAAGCTAGCGCCATCTGGATGATGCAAATGTATGTAACATTTTGAGACCATTTAAAATCATTTATTAATAATAATCATTTGGTTGACAATATTTTCCATTGAATTGAAATTTTTATTTAAATGAATATTAATTAAGTACTAAATTCAATTAACGAAGCACCAGTTACATTCATTTTCAAGTTACCTTTTTGGAGTCAAAATTCAACTCTCCTCAATAATCCTTTAGTTAAAACAAAGAGTTTGTTTTGCCCTTCTGACCATTGTTAAGAATAAGAAATGTATTTGTCAAGACAGAGAAATAGACAGAATAAAGAAAGAGGAGAATAATTTGAACCATTTCTCTTTCTCAATTTAAACACATAATTTTTGAATGTTACATGTAATTAAACAACTATTCAGTTTGATGAGTTAAATCTCTGTGCAGGTAAATGCAATTTAATCAACCTGTTATTTTGTTTAACAGCACATTTAACAGCCACAGGTAGCAACAGTTAACATTAAAAAACTATCGAAATCTAAGAAAAATAGATTTTATAATTTCGTGATAATCTAGATTTGACCAATTTTTAGCTGATAAGTCTTTATGGTCACCAATCAAATCAAAATTGGTATAGTTGCATCTATTAGTTTTGACGGAAATATTTCAACTAACTGCCGACTTGAAGTTATGTGATAAAACTTAAAACTTCACCCTGCATATAACTTTTCGTTGCAGTTAGTTATTAAATAATACATGTACTTACAGTTGAGCACTTGCTAGCGTGTTTCATATTGATGTTAATGTGTTTACAATCGAAAAACGCTAAACTCTGAATTCCAATTAATATCAGGCAAGGGAAAGGATGAAACTAAACACAGTGAAATAAAAGTTTGAGCTCTCGGACTAATTGATCAGTTTCAAACATAAACTATTTTCTTGCATTAGCAATTTAAACACCTTAACAATAGGAAACACACTCTAGTTGCCTTGTAATCACAATCTGGACATTATCGCTTCATTAAGGCATTTGAATGTAGCAAAGAGTGAAGCCTAAAGTTGATATTATTAATATAATCATGGATTAAAGTGAATCTTACTCAGTTGATCCAGGTAAGCTTGTAATTGGAGTGAATGATGAACACGAAAGAGGAGTGAAGGGGAATAAAGAATTAACTTAATGGTCAATTTTGAAATAAAAAGGACAAAGATGCTACTAATAATGAAGCAATTACCATTGGAGGCGAAAAAACAATAGCATTTATTTACTCGTTTAACATTGATCTTGAGCTTTAAGGAAATGAAAATATCAATTTAATAATGGCAATAAAGGTAATAAAAGTACAGACAAATAGCATTTATTATTGATAGTGACCTGTATTTATAAAGAAACCAACTCTGATTTAATCAAAACTGTAATACAACTGGATTAAGTTAATGACCATCAAATGCTTTTTCAATCATCAAATTCATCATCTTCCTGCTTCTCTTAACCTTTTTTGGGTTCCTTTTTCTTTTTTCATTTCATCTCTCGCAACTCACCTCAACTTGTTTAGTTAAAGACAAACAGACACCTACTCCATGTTGAGGGTGATGATAATTGATGAAGAAAAAAAAACGAAATTGAATCGACCAAAGTAAAGTAAAAAGAGGAAAATAAAATTGTCGCAACAAACAATATCAACTGAACAAGGAATCCATTAAAAGGTCCAACTATTATTGTACACCTACAATCACATCAGTTGTTCATTTAAACATTTACTTTTCTGTTCAAATACTGTTAAGTTTCATGAGAATTTCATCAGTTTCGAGAATGATTATCGAGTATACATTTGTATTGGTCAAACAATCCAAAGGCTGGTCAACTCAATTTCAATCCTATTAATCGATTCACGTATTCAACTTTAACCATTATTGAACACTTTGAACACAAGAAAAGCTAAACAAAAGTTTCAATTGATGCAGAAGAAAAAGACTCTTTTCTCGCCCATTTTTACTCTACTCGTCTCACAATTTTGTATTGATGTGATTGTTGAGCGTTAATGATTGTATTTAGAGTTTAAAATTGCATTTGATTATGTAAACAATGAAACTTTGAATCTTTTCATCATGAAATGAGCAAAAAAATAAACAATCAAGTTTTACAGAATGGGATAAATTGTCTTGACAGAAATGCTTATCTTCATCATCACACTCTCTCCTTGGTTCAAATTGTCCGTAAAATTGAAGGGAATTTCATTTTATCTTCTTTTATCTCTCATTCTCAACTTACGAGACTGTGATGATAATGATGACTATAAGGAGTCAAAGGAAGGAAAATGAAAGGATTGAAATGCAAGTAACACTGTTTAGAACGATCAATCGGTGTAAATGATAAAATCGATAGCCACTTTACTGTCTACCAGTATATTGGTGAGATCTGATATAAGCCTTAAACTGACAGTTCGATAAACTTATTTCGCATGATTGATGCTAAACTAAATCCTAGTTTAAGCCTTTTCAAACCTTTTTTTTCTTCTTTCTTTTCACTTCTTTTGGCACGAAAATAGTAAAAACTTTTTTTTTCAGATTTCTTAATGTAGCATCATTATTATGATAATATCCATCAAAATCATTAAACGTTAACTGTTAGCCAATGTGAAAATGAAAAGTTTTATTGCATAATAAATGATAATTGATGAATGGGTAAGTGAATCAGGGAAATGAATCAATTTCAATGTCATTTAGATTATTTCAACTTCGATGCAAATGGCTCTTTCTGTCTTCGTGAAAGTAAAGCTCTTGCAAATCGCGAAATATGTACAGCCAGCCAGTGTCATCTGTCTTTGTCATTTAAATATTTGCACCAAAAAGATGCATCAGTTGAAAATCACTAATCTTGAAGTACTCGGAATTAAAAACAATTCCGAGAAAGATAAGCTAAAACAATGGTAATAATCATAACCAATAATCAAGAATCCGCAAGCTGAAATAGGGGGAATAATAGCAAAACTGTGTGTAAGCCTTTAGCCTGTTTGGGTAGGAATATTTAATCGATGATATCTTTTTACTGGCTATCTGATAATCTGACTTCAGACAATTGAACAGTTGGCACTCTTTCATTCTGTTCACATAAACATGCGATTACACAACATTATGCTTTTCAACAACCCACATGACTCAAATATGTAGCAAGGAATGACTATCTCAATGTTTTGGTTTAATGAGATTATGTTTCTCATTAATTATTACATTGGGTTCATGCTGAATCAATTTTGATAAGAACAAACTGAAATTCGATTCTCAGTTTAAAAAGTTTCATGTTCGTGCCAAATTAGAAGGTACCTTTTGAAGGAAAGTTTTTGAAATTGCAATGTTATATTAATATGATACATGAATGTATTACTTTTCAAATGAATTTTCAAAGCCATGGAGTTTCTTTCTTATTCTATGATGATCACATCAGACATAGTACATATTGTTCAGCACTCTTCGCGTTCAAGCAATGAACAAATGTAAAAATAATTATATAATTAGCAAGGAAGCAATTGGAAGTCTAAAGGAATAAAGATTGGATGAAGTCATATGCACAGAATGTACAACTTCAACCTTGCCCATATAACGAAAATGATCTGAATTGGATAAAATTCAAAAGTCAAACACAGCTTGCACATTTTGCCAATAAAATAATGCTTTTAGTTTGAGTTTCTTTTTGTCAGCAGCATGCATAAAAATGAAAGTACATCATATTATTAATAATATAAGTATTTGTATTTGGTTGCATCAAGATAGCATTACAAAATTTCAGCTATAAATTGTTAAAAAAAATATGTTCGGTGGTAAATTTTGAAATATGTATCTTTAACTGCGAGCATTGAAATCAGACTCATCTGATGCATAATCATTTCTGTAGAACGACTTGACTTTTTAATTCTATTGTTTCACAGCAATCTCATTGGCGATATTGATTTCTGTACCTAATCATAGGATACTGATTTTTTGAGATAATAATTTGAATTTACTGCTAGTGAGCTGGCTTTATAAAAATAGAAAATTTTCCCATTATTGATGTTTATTTAAAATGAATATTTTGTTATTGTTTTGTTTCATTTTTTCACCCATTCATGGGCTTCATTTAACTCCAATAGTTAATTTGACTAGTGGTCCTATCCAAGGTAAAGTTACTGAATATGAATCGATTGGTGTTTACCAGTTTCTCGGTATTCCTTATGCAAAGCCTCCGGTTGGTAAGTTGAGGTTACAGTTACCAGTTAAACCAGATCCATGGACTGAGGTTAAATCAGTGACTGACTTTGGTCCAGCATGTCTCCAACCAACAAGTTTAATTAACGTAAAAAGGACCAGCGAAGACTGTCTTTATCTTAATATCTATGTGACTGAATCAACT